AGGCAAACTGACATTGAGATAGATTTAAAGAAAAGTTTTGTACAAGTTAGACTGAATTCAATTCCCCAGGCTCTGCTCCTTATAAACATGGCTTTATCGGCAGGGCAGAAGTTAACCATGTTTAAGTACAGTGGTTTGCTCAGACCGTGGGCTGAGGCTCCCCTCCCTGTCTGTATGAATATGACTACCCTAAGGCCTATTTTTAAGTCTTTTCTTTTAAGGCTTAATTCAATTGCATGTGACAGAAACACAGTTTCAGCTAGCTTAAACATAACATGAAGCAGTGGTGACAGTCACGGATGTGTGTGCTAGTTTGGCTCTGGGGAAGGTGGCGTGCAGGGTTAGACAGTAAAGCATTATTAGGTCCAGAAGCTCAAAGTGTCTTTAGGACTTCCTGCCTCCTGCCCTCAGGCTCTCCCCTCATGGTGCCAAAGTGGTTGCCATCTGCTGCAGGCTTTTGTTCCAATCCACTCAGCCTTCTAGGGGTGGTGGGGGAAGTTTCTCTTTCTGACCATTACAGGAAAGTCCCAGAATGAAGTCTCCTTGGCACTGATGGATAATTGGTTCTAATGTCCTTTCTCAACAATCACTAAGGCTAGGAATATCCACCACTGATTGGCCAGGCCTGGGTCACATGACCACTCCTGGGACCAGGGGGAGGCCCAAGGAAATCAGGGCTGTTATATTGGACAGGCAGGAAAGGCTTTGGTTTGTGGGTTCCCAAATTCCAGTATTTGTGGAAAATTGTTACTCAAGTAGCTCTGAGCCTGTATGGAATGGTAAAAGATCTGGGTCCGCTCTACCTCATCAGGGAGAAGCTGGCTTTGTGTTCAGCTTTTAACACGTCTTGGATGAATAGTCTTGTTGGCGATTGGACATCAGCCAGTCATGCATCATCGTCCCGGGTGACACAGCCTGTTCACAGAGGGAAACGCTGGTCTCCAGTCAAGTCTCTTGGGTTCAATACTCTCTGATGGCAACACACTTGACCGGGCTGGTGGTCCCTGAATCTGCCCATGAGAATCATCTGAGGAGCCTAGTTCATACTTTGGTAAAACCCAGATCTGATCAGATCATGCCTCTGCTTAAAAATCCACTGTAGGCCCTGGCTGGCATAGCTCAGTGGATTGAGTGCGGGCTGCGAACCAAAGCATCGCAGGTTCGATTCCCAGTCAGGGCACATGCCTGGGTTGCAGGCCATGGCCCCCAGCAACCGCACATTGATGTTTCTCTTTCTCTCTCTCTTTCTCCCTCCCTTCCCTCTCTAAAAATAAGTAAATAAAATCTTTAAAAGAATCCACTGTGGTATTTTGCTCCAATAACAGACAACAACAACAAAAAAGGCAGACAAACGAAGAACCCCACTTGTATTCCATCCTCCTACCCCAGCCCCATTTTCTTCTCCTTTAGAGGCAGTTCCAGAGATTAATACACTTTAGCTGATTATTTAGGTATTTACTTCTGTGACTGTAAATAATAGGGTTTGTGTGGCAACTTCTTGATTTTTCAGTTTCAGTTGTCTGCCCGCATGCCACTGTGAAAGATGAGATTTCAGACTCTCTCCTCCCTCTGCCCCCACCACACACACCCCTTTCCCATCCCCTTCCTCCCAGCGGAATGATCGTGTAGCCAGTTCCCGGTGTTTGCATGATTGCAGCTCTGTGTGCGCTACTGGCAACAGGGCCATCTAGTGAAGTATGGCTACTTTTTGTGGTAGAATGGACTCTTCCGCCATTTCTGCCAAGGGTACATGGAAAATAAATGGAGACTTGCTTTAAAAGGCCTCCTCTGTTTCCCCGTGGTTCATGGGATAGAGTTCAGGTGCTTTAATGGCACGCATGCCCTTCTTGCTTCAAACGCCACCAAACCTCCCACCTGCGGTTCTTTGTTCATGTGCGTCCCTCCGCCGCTGTGGCCCCTCCTTCCCCACCTGGTGAAATGCCCCTTTCTTTAAGGTCTGACTTAGGTGACACTTTTGTGGGCAGCCTGCCCAGTTGTGTGTCTGTTGCACGGGGTGTATACTGAGGTCTTTGTGCTTATCACACTACATGGTGCTTATTTATTACTGCTCGAGTTTAAATCTTGGCTCTGCCATTTCTCAGCTGTGTGACTTCGGGCAAGTAACCCGCTTTCTCTGTGCCTCAGTTTCCCTCATTGTAAAATGTGGGCAACAACAGTAGCACCTGCCTGACACAGTTGTGAGTGATTACACAAATCGATGGAATTAGGCGTTTATAATCATGTCTGTCACTTAGTAAATTGTCCATCTGTGCTGTGTATCTCTCCATCTCATGAAGGCAGAGTTGGTGGGTCATATTCATTAGTGACCAGAATAGCTCTTGGCAAATCAGAAGTCTCCAGGAGCTGGCAGGGAACCTGAATGAGTGAAGTGGCCCGGGTGTGACTCAGGCCCAGGTGGGGACTGGAAAGGGCCGTCTCTCCCCAAGGAGGCATCTTCTCCTCCACTTCCAGCCGGTGCTTGCCAGGTAGGAATTGGGGCCCAGTGTTGCCAGATGACTTGATTTTGTTCATGAGAAATTTAAGAATCCACATTTAAGAAAATATGGATTTTCCTGACGTTTGGTACCCAGCACACAGGCCAAAGGCCCGCAAGCCCGGAGTGATGGCGTGACCTGCCCTGGGTCCCACGCTGACTGCTCAGGCTCTCAGTTTTCTCACTCATGGTCTGGACGTGGGTAGCACTGCTGCTGATTCCCAGCAGGGCGGTGACAGCTAGGACTCAGTCAAGCATGTGAGCGCATTTGCAAAGCAGCTGCCTACACAGTGTAACCGGTCACTGGGTCTCCGTGTTGGCCACCCCTGATCCAGCGAGGCCCTCTTGGCGTTCTTTGTTAGGATCGTGGGTCTCTTTCATGCTGGGTAGAAATTGTGTACATTTATGGAACACCTACTGCCTGCCCAGGAACTATTAGGTGTTTTACATCTATCTTCTTCTTTATTCCTTCTAACAGCTCTCTCTATGACACGGAAAGTAACTATTTTATCGGCAGTAAAAATGATATGCAAAGAACTTAACTGATTAGGGCTGCACGGAAAGAGGTTGAGCCAGGATTGGATGCATCTGATAAATATCCCAGGCATTAGGCAGTGTGCTGCCTCCCACGTACTGGACTGGTGTCAAGTACAGCAGAGCCTCGGGCAGGGGGTGGCTTTGCTGCCTCCTGGGCTGCCCTCGTGCATCGCCAGCACTTCCTCGGGGGCACAAGCCTCATCTTGTTCCCTGTCTTCAGAAAAGCTGTGGTGGGTGACTGCAGGCTTGGCCAGATGGGAGAGAGGCAGAGAAAATCATGATGACGACCCAGGATGGAGGGAAGGGACCAGGGCTGTATCCGAGTGTCTGGTACGACAGGACTGAGGGGAATGAAATGGGAAGTGATCAGAGCTTCTTTACCTCCGTGAGCCACCCAATGGCCCAAGAGGCCCTACTCCTTGATGTTTAGAAATAATTCTCAGATAGTTACTGGCAAGGCAGGCACTTTGCTGCCAATGGCACCTCATGTAAAATTTTACCAGCAGAGTGGCTGTGTGGTTTTGGGACAGCCCCCTGGCTGGTGATCACGTGTCATTCTTTCTCTGACTATCCATTTCCCCTTTCTCACCCATGCACCGCCCCCGCCCCCAACCCTCAGGGTGTGGCTGCATCAGGCAAACTCCCAAGGGAAAAGGAGAGGGTCTGTGAGATGCTGACCTGCCTGACCCTCCAGTATGGCCTGGACATGGTACTAAATTTCTTTACTTTTTTTTTTTTCCTTTTTGTGATGTCCACAGGTCTGGTTTCTTGACTTTCACAATGTAATTAAGACTAGCATGGCCCACCTGCCTGTTCCTCTTTTTTAAACTCTCTTTCTTATATTCTCACCTGAGGGTAAGTTTATTGTTTTTAGAGATAGAGATGGGGCCGCTGTGGAGAGAGAGAGAAACATTGATCAGATGCTTCCCATGCGTGCCCTGACTGGGGATCACGCCCTAAACCTAGGTACATGCCCTGATTGGGAATCGAACCCTCAACTTGTTGGTGTTTGGGGCAGTGCTCCAACCAGCTGGGTCACCTGGCAGACTGCTCCCTTCCAAACTCTTGTCTAGGCTCAGGTTGATAGTGGCTACCCTTATCTCTTGCCATTCTCCACCTTCTAGACTTTAGCTTCCTTCCCTCTCTTTGAAAATGCCGTGTTCTCCCTCTCCCCTCTGGCTGCTGGCTGTGCTGCCTGCTTGGGACTCAGTAGTTTTTCTCCCCCCTCCATCAGTGCCCATTTATACTTCAGGCTTCTGTGTAGATGTTCCTGCTCTGAAAGTTTTCTATGCATCTCCCAATCGACCGCTGTCTCACCTGGCCTAGGGAGGCTCTCACCACTGGCACCTGCACTGTGACCATGCCTGCATGGACCTTTCTGGAATGGGTTGTGAATGCCTGACCTACCCCCAGACTGGAAGTGCCCTGAAGGCACCGGGCACAGGGTCTGGCATGTGGGAAATTTGCACCTAGTGTTTTGTGGTGACCACGTCCCATGGTTGAGGACTTAATGTGGGTGTCGGGGTAGGAAATGGTGCCATCGTTATCAACTAGAGCTGCTGGGGTGGCCCAGCTGGACATCTTCCCTTGAGGATCTGGACAGAGCTTTTTACTCTAACCTGCACTGTCCAATAGAGTAGGCACTAGCCACATTTATTGTCAAATATCTTCAATTAAAATGAAGTAAAGCTCATGTCCTCAGCCTCACCAGCCAGTTTCAAGGGCTCAGTACCGACGTATGGCTAGTGGCCACCGTACGGGACAGGGCCAGTGCTAGAGCGCTTCCAGCGACGCAGGAGGAACCTTCACGTGGGTGGTGCTGCTGCAGACACCGCCTGGTGCAGGTATTGACTGAGGCGCATGTAGGTCGTGTGAAGTCCACCCTTGGTGTTTCTGGTTGGGTCAGGCAGATTTCCACAGACTCCTTCCTAAGCCTGAACTGTGTCTCCTCGCTGTCCCCTGGCTGCAGGATGCGCGTCAGAAGTTCCGCTCTGTTCTGGTGGAAGCCACAGTGAAACTGGATGAACTGGTGAAAAAGATCGGCAAAGCTGTGGAAGACTCGAAGCCCTACTGGGAGGCGAGGAGGGTGGCAAGGCAGGTAAGATGGAGCCCTGCAGGTGTCTCCCCACCTCTGCCCCCAGCCCTGCAGGTGTTTGGGTGTGCCTTCTGACTTCTCTGTCTCCCCCGAGGTTAGAAGTGCGAGGCCATGTCTTTGTAAACCGCTATGTTTGAAGTCGGCCTCTTATTACCCCACCCCCACAGTCTGCCTTCATTCCAGCTCTTGGTACTATCACCGAGGGGGAGTGCTGGCATTTGGATGGCCCTGTGAGTGGGCACCATTTGCCGCTGGAGTTGGCGCCTGAATCCACTCTCCAGGCAGCTGGCCCAGCTCAGGCGGATGAGAGGATGTGTGCTGAACACCAGGCTCCTTTCTCTGCCCCTCCTAATGATTGCCTGTCAGGCAGCAGGAGCACTCCGTCCCTCTCATTCTCCTCCCTAGTGTGGGAGGAATTAGCCATTTGCTTCTCAGAACATTGGCTTTTTCTCCTAAGAGCCCAAATAGGCATCTTGAGGCACCAAGACCAAAAAAAGGGCAGCAGAGGGGGGCTGCAGTCAGGCAAGTGCTGGGGTCGTGGGGAAGCCAGTTCTCATTTCGGAGTGGGTCTTCCTTGATGGCCGCCGCCGTGTGCCTGTGTCACCTCTCAGTGTCCATGGCCAGGAACGTGAAAGGGGAAGGAACGGGGCCCTGGCACTTACTGGTCTGAGCCTGCTGCTCCTTCCTCTCATCCCTTGTCTCTGTCAGTGAGCACAGTGATTATGACAATTACTGAATCCCTGGGCAAGCCACTGAGTCATCAGGTCTAATCAGATGACACCCAGACCCTTGGGGGCCTGTGGCTGACTCACTGTCAACTGGCAGAGCTCAAGATGAACGTTGAGGGACTCCTGCCTGGCTTTGTGCCTGCAAACCCTTTTCTTAAACTCCTGCCTTTTTGCAGGTGGGGCAGGAAGAAGGGCAGAGAAGGCTCAGAGTGATCCCTGCCCCTCAGCCCCAAGGGACCTTGTTGGCCCATAGCCGAGGAACTGGGAAGATGCTCAAAGCTTGTGAGGTTGGGCTGGATGTCACCTTTCATCTCTGTGGATGGGAGCTGTCTGGGCTCGGGCCAGGTGGCCCAGTGTGTCTCTGCACCAGTGTCCTCTGACCTTCCTGCTGGTGAAGGGGTGGGGCCCACCGCCAGCTGCTGCCAAGTGGGGCTTCCTGTTTTTTTCCTCTGGCCTTACTCCACCCCCTTCCTTTCTGTATTTACAAACCCCTCTGACTGTGTAGACAGAACAGGGGTGGCCTCTGAGAGATGCCTTCAAAGCATCTCCTTCAAGTGTGTATTGTGAGAGCCTCCCGCATCCTTGTCCGTGAAATGTGTATGGTCTCGGACCAGCCATGGAGCTCTCGTGAGGTCCTCCTTAGGACTTAATGGAGATTGTGTTTCACCTCAGAGTCCCTGCATGAGCTTAGGTTTTGGCTTCATTTAAAAAAAATTGTTGTAGGAAATACTGAAAATAGACAATAAGAAGAAAAGTCTCATACTTTCTGATTATGCTGTAGTGGTTTATTATATGTCTGGATTGGCCATGTCCATCCATCCAGAGGTTCAGTGGAACAGTGGAGACTTAACCAAGAGAAAACCTTCTTTTATAGCCTGGTTTTCCGTAGAGTTTACAAAGATTCATAGTTGTCTGGCCTGTGGAAATTCTGTCTGCCCCTCAAAATGTGCATTAACTTTATCATTCCTGATGTCAACTCATTTCCCTACTAATGAGTTAGATCCAAACCCGGGATTTTGAAAACCCGGTCCAGATTCTGTCCAGGGCAGGTGGAAGATGCCTGCCTTTTCTTTTCTGGGTGGAGGTGGGGGCAGGAAACTGGCTTTGATTTATTGGAGGGTTTTTTCCTAGAGCCAGAGCTTGTTTTTAAGGTGGCTTTGACATATCTGCCAGCCCATCTGGCCTTCAGTGCTGGCGGGGACCTTCCGACGAGGGGATGGAGCTGGGTGACTCCGGAAACGGGAATGGTGGAGTGTTTGTTGTTTATTTTGCTGCCTGAGTTCTGTCTGGCCTAATAGTGCCCCTGGGCCTGTCATTTTGTCACTCCCAGTCCCTACCCTTGTAGTGTTTTCTTAAGAAAATTGTGGTAAACTATGTGTAAAGTTTACCCTTTTTAAGTGTACAACTCAGCGGTATTAAGTGCGTTCATACTGTTGTGTAACCCTCACCACCATCCATCTCCAGCATCTTTTCACCTTCCCAGATTGAAACTCCGTCCTCATTAAATGGTAACTTCTTCTTTCTCCTTCCCCTCAGCCCTTGGCCACCACCCTTCTACCCTCTGTCTCCGAGGCTGACGACTCTGGGCTCCCTGTGCAAGTGAGCTCATGCACCGCTTGTCTTTTCGTGACTGGCTTATTGTGCTTAGCATCGCATCTTCAAGGTTTAGCCATGCCATAGCATATGTTAGAATTTCACTCCTTTTTCAGGCTGAATAATATCTCACTGGATATATAGGCCACGTTTTATTCATTCATTCATCTTTAAATGGACTTTGGGGTAGCTCTGGTTATTTTTAAATGGTTGGATGTGCGAGAAGAGAGCAGAGTGCTTTGCAAACCTGGAGGGCAGCATGAATGCAAAATAATGAGGGTTATTCAGTGCTGAAAGCCACCTGTTCGGTGTGTGTGGGCCATGTGAGTTCATGTCCTCTACTTAACCTCCCTTGGGGAAGTGAGTGCTGGGGAAACATTGGAAACTTGTGGATGACAAGTGGGGCAAACAGCAAAGCTTCACCTCTAGAGGCAGACTGCCTGTCTGTGAATTCTGATTCACACTTCATAGCTGTGGACCTCAGCAGGTCGCTTAATCTCTCTGCCTCAGTTTCTTCACCTATAAAGGGGAGCTGTGTGTCAGTTCTAGCTTCTGCTGTGAAACAAACCACTCCAAACTTAGGGGCTTAGAGCACTTAGTTAGCTCATTCTTTTGCTGGGCAGTTTTCTTGATCTCAGGCATGGCTGAGCTCACGGACATACAGTCAGTTGGTGGGTTGGCTGGAGGCCGGCTGATCTTGGATGGTTTTATCCATCCAGCTTTGGCCGGTTGTCAGCGGAGGCGTCGGGATTGTTAGCTGGCCCACATGTGTGTCACCCTGCAGGCCAGCATGGCTTCTTCACGTGGTGTTGGGATTCCAGGAACCAAAGGGCAAGCGCTTTCCAGGACTCTGCTTGCATCACATTTGTCCTGTTGGTAGAGTAGGTCACACGGCCAGTCTAAATTCAAGAGGTGGGGAATAATAAGCTCCACCTGCAAAGTATTGTTGCCATTTTTACAACTTACCATGGGATTAAAGTAGTACATGTAAAGCGTTTGGATCAAGAAAAAGGATGTACGTTATGATCCCAGACGTGTTCCCTGTCAAATACTGTGTCTCCATGGTGAATCTGCTGTTAAAGAGAAACAGCACAATAAAAACCTGAGGGTGGAAGAAACAGGCCTCTGCTGGCTGGGAGGGGAGTGGGAAGATGTAGAGCCCGTGAGGACAGAAAGGTGACCCCAGGCAGGTTGAGAGCAGGTGGCGTTGCTTGTGAGTGTAAAATGTCCCAGAGGGTCAAAAATGAGGAGGAGGAGGTCGCTGACCAGCCTTCTGACTGATCAAAAGCATCCTAAGCCCGAACAGGTCAGGCAGTGAGGGCCTCCAGTGGATGGGGAGTCATGCTTCCCATGACATGAAACAGGTCAAGTGCATCAGATGACCCCCCAAATTCTTATGTTAATTGTAGAGGAAGAAAGTGTTGTAACCTTCCTTCGCTGGGAAATTCTAGACATTGGTTTTGTTTGCAGACAACCCTCCATAAGCAGAGACATGACAGGCCGGGTTCTGCGAAGGTGAGTTTTACTCTCTCGTTTAGGGTTTTTCCCCCCTTTTGATTTATTTTCTTTTATTCAACAAGTATTTACTGGGTTCCTACTAACAGTCAGTCACAGTTTTAGTCACTTGTCAAGAACAGGACCAAGACCCTGATTCTGTGGAGGCAACGTTCCCCTCTTGCCAGTCTTACAAAAGTGCGTGGGGTGGGGCTTGTGGGCAAACATAGAAGCTTTGTTACTGATCTGGATCGAAGGGTGGGTTTTTCCTGCCTCACTGAGAAATGGAGCGAGACTGTGGGAAGGTTACGGTGCACTAGGGATGGGCAAACGCAAGTGCCTGTCAGCGCACTTCCTGAGCATCCCCCCCATTGTGGACGAAAGTGTGGTTTGTATCCTCCTGAGCGACATCTACAGCCATAAGCAAGGTGGCTGTAGGGTCAATACAGTCCGTGGTCATTATTCTTGATAGTCTCTGAGGCCGCTGCAGCACGGAGAGAGAGAGGCGTGCCTCCGAGGCACTGCTCCGGAACAGAGGGTCAGGGTCCTGGGAGGGAGCCTCTGGTTGCATTTTCATCAACCCAGCCACACGTAACCTAGTTTTAGGTAGGTTTCTCTTTAAAACACATTATTTAATATATATTATTTATAAATAATTGATGATAAATCAGGAGCCAAGAAGGGTCAAACATTTTCCTGACCCTGGGTGATGTGCCCATAAATTTCTTTGGCTTTTAGCCTCACACAATGAAGTCCACTGCGCTTTTGTAATTGGTCGTGACCTCTCGGGCGTCGATGCCAAACGGAGTCCGCAGATTTAGCCACTTTTCCAGCGTTTCATCATGCACTGTAGACTTTATTTTAGCCTTTCCTGGAGCAGCCTCCAGTACAGATTTGCAAATTTCCTCTTGCTTTTCCTGGATGTACCGTGTTGTTGACTCATTAACATTGAATTCTCGGCCAACAGCACTGTGACTCACGCCTGAATGAAGTTTATCTAAAACTCGTGTTTTCTCTTTAAGGTACACCACTGCCTTCTTGGGCTTAGGAACACTAGCCAGCACTTCAGCACTCGGCTTGGGGGCCAGTTTAAGTATCTGTTCACCAACAAAAAACACACAGCTGTAGACAGCGTGGCAGCAGGTAGACTGTGAGAGGGACAGCTGTGGGCAGTGTGTGACAGGTGGA